GTGTCATTTATAGGCTTTCAGGAATTCTCCCAAGTTAAGTGTTTGATTAGAAAGGGGACTTACTGCAGTCGACTGAACAATGGCCCCAGATCCTAAACTCTGGAACCTTTGAATATTAATTCATATGAAAAAGTTATCATTAGAGTTGTGGTTAATGTGAGGCTCTTGAATTGTTTAATTTAGCCAGATTTAGACAGGTGAGCCCTTAACACAATCACATGTTTTTATCACAGGCAGGCAGAGATTCACCATAGTCAGAATGGGGGAGGCTCTGTGACTTCAGAAGCAGAGATAAAATGCTAAGATACAGTTGAAAGACATCAGGAACATTCATTTGAAGTGGCTGCTGCATGTTTCAGGAGCATAATACATTCCTATCCAAATTCCCTTTCTCCAGGTGTTTCTCATAACCATGGGGTTATGCCCCAATACAAACATCATAAACTGAAAATGCCATATGATGAGAAGAATGTGAAGCCATTTCAACTATTAACATCATAGCTGAGCAAAACATGCTCACTGTAGAGTGTCAGCTATTTCCCATGTCAAGTGGTTGACTAGAAATTGTAGCTGGCTGCCATGGTCTAGTATCAGAATACTGTGGTCCAGGTAGCACTCTGCTGTGACAAAATACTTTGAGGAAACCACTTGTGGCTTGAAAAAAAATTATTTAGATTCACGGTTTCAGCCACTTTCATCCATGGCCAGCTTGCTCTAGTGCTATTGGGTTGTGATGGGGCAGAATGTCGTGGCAGTTAGAACATCTATGGTACACAGTTAGAACACGTATGGAACACAGTTAGAACACCTATGGAACACAGAACACAACACCTATGGAACACAGTTAGAACATCTATGGAGCACAGTTAGAACACCTATGGAACACAGAACATCTATGGAACACAGAACATCTATGGAACACAGAACACAACACCTATGGAACAGAGTTAGAACACCTATGGAACACAGTAGAACACCTATGGAACACAGTTAGAACATCTATGGAACACAGTTAGAACACTTATGGAACACAGTCAGCACATCTGTGGAACACAGTTAGAACACCTATGGAACACAGTCAGCACATCTATGGAACACAGTCAGCACATCTATGGAACACAGTCAGCACATCTATGGAACACAGTTAGAACATCTATGGAACACAGTTAGAACACTTATGGAACACAGTCAGAACACCTGTGGAACACAGTTAGAACATCTATGGAACACAGTTAGAACACTTATGGAACACAGTCAGAACACCTGTGGAACACAGTTAGAACATCTATGGAACACAGTCAGAACACCTGTGGAACACAGAACATCTATGGAACACAGTTAGAACACTTATGGAACACAGTCAGAACACCTGTGGAACACAGTTAGAACATCTATGGAACACAGTTAGAACACTTATGGAACACAGTCAGAACACCTGTGGAACACAGTTAGAACACCTATGGAACACAGTTAGAACACCTGTGGAACACAGTTAGAACACCTATGGAACACAGTTAGTTAGAACACCTATGGAACACAGTTAGAACACCTATGGAACACAGAACACCTGTGGAACACAGAACATCTATGGAACACAGTTAGAACATCTGTGGAACACAGTTAGAACATCTGTGGAACACAGTTAGAACACCTATGGGACACAGTTAGAACATCTGTGGAACACAGTTAGAACACCTGTGGAACGCAGAACACCTATGGAACACAGTTAGAACACCTATGGGACACAGTTAGAACACCTGTGGAACACAGAACACCTATGGAACACACACAGTTAGAACATCTATGGAACACAGAACACCTGTGGAACACAGAACATCTGTGGAACACAGTTAGAACATCTGTGGAACACAGTTAGAACATCTGTGGAACACAGTTAGAACACCTATGGGACACAGTTAGAACATCTGTGGAACACAGTTAGAACACCTGTGGAACGCAGAACACCTATGGAACACAGTTAGAACACCTATGGAACACAGCTGCTAGCCTCATTGCAAGCAGGAAGCAGAGCAGGATTCCATTCAACGGAAAAGTCTCAGGAATCCACTTCCTTATCCTGGTCCAACTTCCCACTAACCCCCAGTCCTGCCATTGAATTACGAACCCATCAACAGAGTAGCACATTGATTAGGCTCCAGTCTTCATGACTGAACCACCTCCCAGTGGTTGCAAACACCATAGAGAAATCAAGCCTTCAACACACAAGACTGCAGAGAGATAATTCATATCCAAACCATAATAAATGCTGTTCTGAATCACAAGTCTGAGATCAAAATTCGAACTTGGAGACAGTACTAAATACCCATCTCTCGCACACCACCGTAAAGGTGAAACGCCTGCCCCGGAACCATGCTATGTCAGAGACTGCGCATCCATTCTATGAAGGCAAACTTCTCCAGGGCCAGTGAAAAGCAGCAAGCAGCGCTGTGCTCCTGTGGGTTTCTGACTTCACTCTGCTAGCCAGCCCCTACCGCTTAACAATTCATAACAAACCCAACTCCTCACCCCCCCATCTCCCACCCCGCTCCCATCCTGTGAATTCCTTAGTGCATCTCCTTGTCTTGTACTCTTTCACCAAGCCAATGAGTGCGTTTTGGAGAATTTCACTCCAACAGGAGACTTCCAAAGACCTGCCTATGCGTTTCTGAGCTACACGGACAACCCACACCTACAGCACCTGTGTGCAAGAAGGAGCTCTAGTCACTGGAGGCCGGTCTGAGCTCATCCATATTTGCTTTCCTTTAGATTTAGAGGCAGAAGGAGAAAGGGGAAGAAAGAGAAACCATCTCCAGTCCAGAAAATTCCAAAACAAACCACAGGCAGAAACTTATACCTCGGAAATCACAGGGTTATTTTAGAATCTAGTTCCATCTAGCCATGAGGGCAGAGGGGAGAGTGTCATGGGGCAGCTAAAGAGGCAGTTAAGACTTAGGTTTTATCTTTCCTTTAGAAGTCCAGGGTTTGGATGGGATGAGCACTGACAACCCCAACTTTTTCACTCCTCCCCTGTTGATCCATACACAAGGATTCTAGCTTCTGCCTCATCTCCTCTGCAAAATGGGCATGACGACTCTCCCCACCTCCTTAGGTGCTGTGTACCTGGTGTGAGTCAATACACAGTAAACATTGAGAACCAAGACAGAGACAAAATAAACAGTCTAAACTATCTTGACTATTGACAACGAGGTCTAAAGTCTATGCTCTCATTGTGGTCCACTTTCTTGTCGTTAATATGTGGTGATTTTACTTAATTTGTGAAGTAAGTGCTAGACTAATATCCATCGCATCCTCTATTGTAAGTTGCATGAAGGTGAAATACATTCTGGTTTTCTTCGTCCCCATACTGTGTTTGGAAAAAGAAAGCACTGAAATATTTGCTCACAGATAAAGCAAGCTAGTACCATCAGTAGTTCTTAGTCTACAGTTTCAGATGTCTTCAGAATTTTTGGAGGTGCTTTTTAATTAATATAATTCTTTCCCTACCTTATTGAATAAGAGAATTGCTTGGATAGCTTTCAAATACACTCATGCTTAGGCCCCAAGAATTCCAAAGTGACAGATATGGGATCAGCCCAAGTCCACTTGGCCCCATATCCATGGGTTCTTCAAAGTTGGATGCAGTCAAGTACAGATAAATAATACTTGAAAAAAACTATTTGAATACGTACAGTCTTTTTACTATTGTGTGTATATATATGATAGTTATTTTCATGACATTTGGTTGAATCAGTTTTATGAATGATATGGAGACAATTGAAAGTATACAGGAGATGTATAAGAGGTCTTATGCAGATATACAACAGATTTGAGTGTCCTTGGGTTTTGATATATGTTTTAAATTGTGTGTGTGTGTGTGTGTGTGTGTGTGTGTGTGTGTGTGTGTGTGTGTGTGTGTGTGTATTATCCACGGAGACCAGAAGAGGGCATCTGATTCCTCTGGAGTTGGAGTTATAGGCAGTTGTGAGCCACTGATGTAGGTGTAGATATAGGACCAAACTTAGGTCCTCTGCAAGAGCAGTACAGGCTCTTAATCACTGAGCCATCTCTCCAGCACAGATCTGGGTGTCTTTAGGAGGGCTCTGGACCCAATTTCCATCAATACTTTAGCATAGATAAATGCATTCTAATCGGAAAGTCAGGTTGGAAAGCTCCAATGATGTCAGTGTCTGCTTCAGTTCAGACACAAAGGCATCCACGGGGACCTCTGCTTTTGCATTTGACCAACAACCAAGACTCTCGGCTTGCCGGAAGTCAGCAGGAACCTTCTATAAGGCCCATCTGCAAGCTTTTGTTTCGTGCAGATTTCCTCAAAGAACTCCGTTCTGTCAGTTTAGCCTCCACACCAGACCATCTTCAGTACCTGGGCAGTTCCCTCCTCTTCCACAGACGCCCTCCCACCCGGCCTCATGACTGATCACGTGGCCTGCCTCAAGGAAGAATCTTGTTAGTCCAGAAGCATTTTGACAGAATCCCTCTCACTCCTTGCTGATGCTTCCCTGAGTAATTCTGCACCCACTGACCCCATATATCCCACTGGCTACACATTCGCATTTGTTCATGCTTTGGGGAGTTGAGCCCAAACTTCGCCATTACAAGACTCTCTTTTAAGTGGGCCTTACAATTTCCTTAACAGTTAATAAACAACTTCTTCCACCTTAAGGTGCATCTTCTTCGCTATTAAGATAATGGAGGACGGGGTACTGGAAGCTGCAGCTCCCTGGCAGGACCTTGGCTGATGGAACCAATGAGGAGTATGGTTCACGCTGTTCGGTCTACCGTGATCCTGGCAGCAAACCAGTTCAATGACTCCAGACCTAAACACTGCCAAACTGCCCTCAGAGACGCTCTTGCCTCTAGAACACAAGAGTATGAGGTCATGAACCCCCTTACTTTTTTTTTTTTTTTTTTAAGGCTTTGATGTATTAAAAAGACACCACAGAATTCCCTAGTGTGAAGTAAAGTGGTCCTGATGGCGTTAATGCAACCCATTCCCTCTGCGTGATGCTTCCAAAGTGGACTCCTGGGTGCTTCCTTCCTCCCTGTCCCTCGCTCCACATCTGGCCACATCTGATCATTTACTCTTATTCTTAAACGATCCTCTAGAGTTCTTTGGACTCCTCTAGCGGACATCGGGAGCACACAGAGCAGGAGGCCAGCCCTTAATTAAGCCTGGCGCCCGGTGCGGCTGGGGCGGTGCAGACCTATGGCTGACCGCGGAAACCCAGGATACGGTTATCAATCTGGAGGTCAGGGGGGCTTGTGAAGCTTTCTCGCCTTTGAAGGCCAATCCTCCTGCCTCAGCCCTTGCATTGCAGGGACACAGAGTCTCCACCGAGCCACCACCTTACCGCGCGTTCCCGTCACCCCCGCCCGCACTTGTGAACCGAAGGACGCGAGCCCACGGCGGGAGTCCCGAGGAACCCGCTCCCCACCCCACCCCCGGGGAGACGAGCGCAACGATCCGGAGCCTGCACAACAGGTCCTCTGGGCACCCTCCATGGTGAGGAAGTGGGCACGACTGACTGCGGGAAGGGGTAGTGCAGAGAGGGACACAATCTCTGCAGGAGGGCTACTCGGTTTCTGGGTCCCCAGCCCCTTCCCTGGTCCCCAGCCCCGCAGCAAATTCCGAGTTAGGCTAGGGATGCAAGCGTGATCCCGAAGGCGCGCGTAGGCTCGGAGTTCCGTAGGCGAAGGCTCTCCTTGTCGGTCCAGGAGGAAAGTTAGCTAGTGCAGGAAGAGAGTCTTCTCTGTGCCCCTCAGGACCAGACCTCGGGGGAGGGGGGACAGGCGACCACCCACCTTGTGCCTGCGCCTCCATGGTGGCCGACGTGGAGCTGAGAGCCGCGGGTGGGGGGGACGACGCGCGGACGCCTCGTAGAGCAGATGGCAGCGGTGCCCGAGCTCGGGAGACAGCGAAGCCCCGCCGCTCTCGTGCCCTCTCCCGGCGCGCGTGTCGCGAGCACTGCGTGGAGGGGGCGGGGGACTGCGGGCGAGCAGCCACCGCTGGCCGCCGCTGCTTACCTCCGCCCCTTCCAGTCCACCTGGTCCACGGAGCGCTGCCGAGAACCACGGATCGGGCGCCACCTGCCGGCCGCTCGCCGCACCCGGCGGGAGGCTTCCCCTCCCGCTGCACCCACGCATGTCCTGATCAACAACCAACTTGGCCCAGAGGCGGGCAATACAAGGGGCAAATGCCTTGGCTAGAGGAAGGTAGGGAGTGTAGGGGGACGTTACTGAGCCATTGGTCCCGGTGGAGATAGTAGTGTTAGGTTCCTGGGAGCCCCAGTGCCATATTTTTGTCAATTGACCATTACATAACTTTCTTTTACATGCCTGTTGAAGAAACCTTCCTTAAAATGTTGTTGGTTCATTTAACATTGAGCACACAGCTCTATAACTCGGACCAAAAGGCAGTTTATTAAGGTTATGTCATGTGTATACTTCCGCTGTAAAGTTTAGCACACCCTATTGCTCTTAGGGACCCTCAACAGCATGCAAGTGATGTGCGTGGATCCAGCCTCCCGGGAAAGTAAGGAACAGAAGCAACAAAATGAGCTGAAATCATAAGGTTGAGCAGTCCTGTCTGGCTTCCTGACAGGGGGGACTATAGTACTTTGAGACTTCTGTTTCTGACTCCAAATGACAAAAAAGACGTGCCCGGATAACGGAGTTCGGTGTTAGAAGTAAATCTGAAGTGAGGAAAAACGTAGAAACACAGACCTAAGACACGTTAACAAGACATATGCCTTGCTATCCAGAACCTTGTAGGCTGTGCCGCTGAGTTGGTCCTTTTCAGCGAAGACTAAAACTTCAGTCCTGTGCTGAGGCTTGTCTGAGGATGGGATTGATTGGAAAGCCAACAGAGAGTATGACTTACAGCTCACACCTCACCTCTACCAGTCTACCTACCAGGAATCCTTCCCCCTTCTCAGCATCTCACCAACTTCCGTGAAATAAAATCTAGCATTTTCTGATGCTTGGTCTTGAATAGTTTGTGTGAGAGAATGTTAGTCTCTTCCTTTAGTAAGTTGATGAGGAAATCTGGTGAGGTTGAAGATGGTTATTGTAGTAAATCTCCCATAATTCCTGCCAAAGAGCCTCAAGCAGATTTACAAGTCCAGAAAGATAGCGAATAAGCAATCAGTAAGCCATATTTTATCCACACCCAAGTTACTGTCAAAGTTCCAGCCTAATAAATATGAATGGAATCATAGACTTTTCCATGAAAAAAAAAAAACCTTGGCATGTACACAAACATGTCAGTGTTTGTTTTGTTTTTCTCAGTTTTGTGTTGAAGATCTCACAGGTATGTAATCATTTCCATGACATTTACCCTAAGGACTGTTAGTGAAAATGACCAGACAGGTATAAAGTGGCAACTGGGTGATTAAATCACTCTTAGAATCTACTCAGTTGTTCTGGTCCTTCTTAATCCTGGAAATTAAACATCGGGTTATATATAGTTGACTCCCAGCTGTTGAAATGAGCTAAAAGTAGTTCCTGACTCTGCTTAAGTCATCTACCGTCATCCGAACTCTGACTCATTCTGATTGCTAAAACTTTAAGCTACTGCCCCTTCGACATTTTGGTCATTTTTTTTTTTTTTTGTATAATTATAAGACTTGGCATTCATTCTGTGTGCCAGGGATTTGGCCAGATTCCAAGGCAACAAATGAAGGACATGATTCTTCCCGTCCTTTTCAAAGAGTTCATGATCTATTGAGAAGGAAAGATAAACAGAGCCTTCATGAAGCAGTGTGAGGTGCTGAGGGCCATGCAGGGCTAGCCCAGTATGCCTGAGTTCACTGCTAAAGACCTCACTAATCAGACCCTCGGGAGGAAATTTGTTTTACCTCAGCTGAGTCTTGAAGCATGACAAATTATCCATGTAAGTTGTGTTATCCCTGTATTTGTTACCATTATTGTCACTGTGACCAGATACCAGACAAGAAGCAATTTAAAGAAGAAGAGCCTTGTCTTGTCATAAGATGTGAGGGGACATGTCCTGCGATGGCAGAGACAGGGGGTGTGTATATGTCTGTACCAGGAGAAGGGTGAGGCTGTTTGCTTGCGTTTCAGCAGGCCAGGGGGGCGGGGGAGAGGGAGGAGAGCAAGTCTATCGGATGTGGCTTGGCTATAACCCACAAGGCCTGCCTTTCTTACTCCCTTCCTCCAGTCTAAACCCCTCCACTCAAAGATTCCACGGTCTTGCAAGTTGGCAGTACCAGCTGGAGACAGCATTCTAACACATGAACTTCTGGAGACCGTTTTACCTTCAAACCATACCACCACCAACCTGTGGCTTAGCTGAGAGACTATGACTCAAGTCAACACGTAAGAGGCTGACAGTTCAAATCTTTCCTTCTTTTCCTCTTACGATCACAGAGTTCCTCGGCTTCTTGAACATCTTAAGCAAACGGTCAGCTCATCCCTCATGTTCCTCATCTTTTGAGCCACTACACATGGAGCTCAACACCCAGCTGTGAGTCTGAGTCAACGCATTCTGGACCACTCTGAGGGGGTCATTCTGAAGAGGCATTGATGAAGCGGACGGCGTCGGTGTCCAAAGGGAAGGGGAACTGGCCTGAAGAATCTCTAGGCCACTGATAATGCACAGTGCTGAGAGTGTCCATGGGATGGGGTGGGGAAGAGAAATGAGATGAGAGATTGGAAAGGACAGGAAAAATATTGTTGTTCTGAGTCCCAACTAATAAAGAGATAGAGAACCAGAGCTTTGCGGTGCCGATAGAGTCCCACTCTCTCTGAAAAATGCCATCTGTACAGCCGAATGTAAGTTTCTTAACCTGTCTGCGCCTGGCTTTCTGCATTTGGTGGTATTCATTGATGTGTTTGTTCTCAATTTCCTATTCCTTTGTCGTGTTTCTGAAGCACTGATTCCCAGTGCCCTGAGAGGACTGAATGAGGGGCTTTGCATCATTTCTGTTCCTGGGCTCACACTCCAGATAATCTCATTTAATTTATATTTAGAAAGCTCTCTGGATAATGTTGATGTTCTCCCAAGATTGAGAACAACTGTCAGACATCGTCCACAGCAAAGATGAAAGGAACCGATTCTCTGGTTTAAATGAAAATGCTGCCACTCAGGTAAATAGACATAGAGAGAAAGAAATGCAAGAAGAAAGAGCAAAGATGTTTGCCCCTAAATGCAGAGGAATGGGAGAGGGCAGAGAACCTGGAGGAGGCAGAGGTGAGTGGAGAAGATCCAAACATGCGTCAATCTGTGTGTCTCACCCTCCGTCCTGTCTCAGTCCGTGCCAGAGAAGGCGTGCACCTGACAGTTCTAAGATGACCTTCCACTCCCGCTTTTTGTAACCCTGTAATGGACAGAGTGCTTTTTATAAGTTCCAGCCCCTTCCAGCAGGATAGAGAAACAACTGGGACTTTCCCTGAGTGTCATGTGAGTTGTGAAGTTAAAGGGAGAGAGAACCAAACCAAAAACATCCTGAGGTGAAAGGAAAAGTATCAGTTCAGGACCCCCAAGACCAAGTTCTCAGCACAGAAGAGATTTATTTGCCCAGAGAGACAGAGGGCAGGAATAAGAGACGACAGGAGGTAGAGGATGAGGGAGAAGGGGAGGGGAACAGGGCAGAGGGGGAAGGGATATCTGTCCCTGAATGGACAAAGGGCTTCCTCTGCATAGAGAGGAAACAGATAGGGCACACAGGAAAATGACGGTTTATAAAGGTAAAGGGGGAAACCCCATGTTAGGATGAGGAGTTTAGTTTTAATTGGGCATGTTAATTAGGCGAGCCAAAGGGGGCTTTGGATTGATGGACTTTAATTCTTTGATAGCTGGACCTTGGTAGTCAGCCTTAGGAGGAGGAAGTAGCCAGATAAGGGAATAGACCTTGGGGGCTAGCTTTAGGAATGTCATCTAATGGTTTTTAGCAAGGCGGAGGGGATGGGGGAGAAGAACAAGGCCTGCCAGAGCCATGCCCACCATGCTCAAGTGGGCCAGACTTCCTTCATGTGGGGCCTGGTGAAAGGATGCTTGTGGAGCCACAGAATTCCCGACTGAGAGAAGAGAGGCTACAGAAAGGGAGAGGAAATTGGTGTCTGGCTTGGACCTTGGCCTCCCAAGGACTTGTTGACCTCACCTGCTGGTGCATCTGAATAGGGCAAAAGGAACTGAGGAGAGACCACGTGAGCTCCCGAAGAGGGCCATCATGGCTTTTTTTCCTATTGCTACAAACCTTCCAGTTCTGGGGAGGATAGAGAATTGACGTCCACCAGCCACACAGCTGTCTATGGAGGCCAGGGGAGATGTGTAGGTCAGGACCACCAAAATAGGGAACCAAGAGGTGAGGTAAACACCAGATGAGAAGGACAAAGGCTGTCTGTCGGCCTAGGGCTCACCAGGGTCTATGGGGGTCGCTGGTGAGTAAGCATCTCTCAACATCATCAGGCTAAAGCATGGATTCGCTTGGGGTTTTCCCTTCCCTGCAGTGTTTCCCGCTCTGCTCACGTAGCAAAGAGGAACTGTTGTTACCTCAAAGGGAGAAGGGCAGTAGGACCTGAAAATCACACACATACACACACACACACACACACACACACACACACACACACACACACACACGAGAGAGAGAGAGAGAGAGAGAGAGAGAGAGAGAGAGAGAGAGAGAGAGAGAGAGAGAGAATGTTCTGAGAGAAGCTGGAGAGATTCACTTTGAGACAAAGACAGCTAAATCACGTAAATGACATTCTAACATAATTGCCCCCAAACTGCAGAGATAGGTGAATCTGGATCAACTGCCTGAAAGACAGACACTATTAAGCAATTGAGGGAATAATTACCACGAAAATGCAATCATTTCATGTCTATCCCTCAGGAAATTGTGACTCAACAATAGACTGAGTACATTACATAAAATGCCTTACCCAGCACTTAGTGAACCAACCTTGTTTTTTCTAAGTTCACCAGTATTTCTAGACATATTCACTAATCTGTAAATTATACATAAATGTCCAGACAATTCGGAGGATAAAGTACTTTCTCCTCATTAAAGAGAGAGTATGTAATTGTATTCTCAGTATCCTGTGTACTAAGGGTTACACCTCTAAGACTATTCTCTATCTAGTCACTTTCAAATTGCAGTCTCTAAAGTACACAGGCTTTTAAAAGTTTCAATGCGGTGTTTTGCTGACCTTTACACTTCCTGAATAATTCTTTGTTGTGGGTAGGATGTTTAAGGACATCATGGACATCTAGCCTATAGCAGCTCTAACACTCTGACAACCTAAAGTGTTTTGCACACATTGTCACAGTAACCTCAAAGGCAAAGTGTCTTCCAGGCGAGAGCCACACCTTCGTTTCTGTCTTGAAGACTGAACCATTATAGGAAGAAATGATTGCCATGTGCTGAAGGAACACCTACAGAAAATGGCGTCTCAGCAGCCTCGGGGTGGATGGTGGGGGGCAGGGTTGCCTTCTTTCCCACCAAGAGCTCTTGGAATTCTCCCATGTCACCTGCTTCTTACGCAGATGCTTTGTCAACAAAGCTTTAATTTCTAAGATCTATTTTATTATTTTAATGGTATGTGTGTGTGAACATGTGTACAAGTGAATGCAGATGCCCTTGGAGGCCAGAGGCATCAGATACCCTGGAGCCGGAGTTATAGACTGCTGTGTACAGTTCCACATGGGTGCTGGGAACTGACCTCGGGTACTCTTTTTGGAGAAGCAGTCCATGCCCATAAACACTAAGCCATTCTCCAGTGCTTCGCCGCTTTCTTAAGCAGCAAGAGAAGGAAGAATGGCTGGTGTGGTTACTGCCCTGGCCCTCTCTGCAGGAGGAAAGTGCTGGAAATTCTTCCTGCTGTTTTGCTTCCTTTTTCATTGAGCAGATCTGCCCACAGAGAGGCACACTTGATGCTGAACTGGTTAGTCTCCTGATCCGACCTTTTTTCTTTTTTCTTTATTAAGAATTTTCTACTCACTCCACATGCTATCCACAGACCCCCCTCCTCCCTCCCCCAGCCCTCTTTCCCAAGCCACCCCACATCCCCACATCCCCCAAATCAAGGTCTCCCATGAGGAGTCAGCAGAGCCCAGCACACTGAGTCTAGGCAGGTCCAAGCCCCTTCCCACTGCACCAAGGCTCTGCAAGGTCCGACCTTTTTTTCTTGAAAGACAGGCAACCAAGAAGTTTGGAAGGTTGGTGTTTATTTGGGTCTTTGGCTTAGGAAGTAATTATTAGAGACAGAATTCCTAGATAGGCTCCGGATGCATGCATTTTTGTTTAGTTTTAAAATAATAATTGCTGCTTAGTGTCTGTTACTTTTTAAAAATGTTCAGATCTTTAAGCAGCACCTAGGATGGAAAGAAGCTGGACCTGGGGGCACAGGTCTGTGATCTCAGCTACTTGGGAGGCTGAGGTGGAAAGAGTATATGTTGATGATCTACCTGGGCTAGAGAGTGAGTTCAAGGCCAACCTGAGCAAATAAGAGTCTGTCTCAACATTAACAAAATACTAAAAGGGCAGACGGCATACAGCTTCGTGTGCCTAGCATGCATGAATCTTCAGGAAAACAGTGGAAGACGAGGGGGAGAGGGAGGAGAAAACTTGTTTCAGCCAAGCTTAGTCGGCATACAATATAGCAGAGGTGACGGAAATAGGGACCATCCATCGAAGGGGAGACACATAAGGATAGAATAAAAGACAAAGGTCTCTACTGTACACCTCGTGACTTGTTTATTCCTGCTTCTTAAAAAATTGTTTGTTTATTCAAAGATGTAGGCAGAGTTTTTTACCAGGACTGCCAGACCCCAAATAACCACACAGAGACTCATTATTCATGATGAAAGCTCTGCGGAAGTCCCACCTGTACCTCCTGCCTAGCTGTTGGCCATTCAGCTTTTCATCACAACAATACATTTTCACGTATTGTACAAATAGCCCACAACACAAAGGCGTGATTTGGTCAGGGCCTCAGGATGGCTCTTTGCTGGTTGGCACACTATTGCTGTAATGGCTTCTCTTGTTCTTTGCTGATGGGAGGACAGCTGGCTTAATGGCTTCCCTTGCACAGTCGAACCTCTAGACAGATGGATGTCACTGTACCATTCCTTTTTTATGTGCATTGGTGTGAAGGTGTCAGATCCCCTGGAACTGAATTGCAGACAATTGCGAGCTGCCTTGTGGATGCTCAGAATTGAAGCGGGGTGCTCTGGAAGAGCAGCCAGTGCTCTTAACCACTGGGCCTTCTCTCCAGGCCCATTATGGTACCATTCTGAGAAGACAGAGGCCAGCTGTTGTAAGGTTCTTTTTCAAACACCAAGGTACAGTTCTAGAGTCACTGTAATTGACCCCGAAAAAGCAGAGAAAAGTTTAATAGAGCATAACGGAGATTATTAATAAGAGCCTTAAGGAGTATTAAAGGAGCCAGGGTGAACATTTGTTTCGATGAGTAGAGACGTGGGCACTATCTCAAAGACAGGACACACATCTGCTGTCTACGGTGACAAGACAGATCATAAGTGACAGTGAAAAATGGCTAGGAACTGCCTAGTCAGTACAACAGTAGTTTTCTAATTTGTGCATGTAACTTGAACATGGGCTCAGAAGCTCCTACACCAGTTTGCACCAAAGTCAAGGAGGTGGCATGGTGGGCAGGCTTTGCCTCGGTTACAGTCCAGCCAGAAAATCAGCTCTGCTAGAGAACAGACTATGTGAGTAATGGGAATTTTTGATTTCACAAACTATAAAC